TAGTGTGTCTCTGTGCTCCATGAGGGTCACCTGTACACAGAGGCTGACACCTGCTACTGCAGTGAGGACGCTTAAGTGCAACAGTGCTTGTCACTGTTAGGGCAGGAGTGCTTCCTTCTAGAGGCTGAGCAGAGGGTAGTTCTGTCTCTTGTTGAGTTGGGGAAGGCTGTGGGCAGCAGCACTCAGAAGAGGCCCCCTTCATAGTTCAATCCCTGTTTCCAGGGAGCTGGGGGCCAGAGTGCTCTCAAGTCTGTCATGGAGTCCCACATGCCCAAATGTCCAGGCTGTCCGAGAGCTGGGGCCAGGCACAGAGCTGGGTTCTCTTGCTGCCCAGCTGATGGTCAGTGGTAGGTACTGTCTCAGTCCCAGCACTCTCCTCCAGCCCACATGCCCCCAGACTTCAGGGGAGGCTGCAACCTAGAGGCCTGGAATAAATGATGGAGTATCTGTTGGAGGCCCTGTGCTCACTGCTGCCTCCCAAAGTATGGAGCTGTGAGCCGGCCATTGCTGCTGTCGCCCCTGCCTTCTGCTTCCCCAGCACATGCAGTGTGGAGAGGATAGGCTGCAACCATGCTGTCGCTTCCATGGTTTTCAGGGCTTGTTGTCCCAGAAGAGTAAGCTGGGAAGCCAGGCTGTGTGCCTGAGATTAAAAGTAATTAACCTTGATCTGCCAGAAGTGTGTATTGTGCAGATAATTCACATACGGCAAGGGCTATTTTCATTATCTTGTTCTCACTTCAGTATTTTGGGTAAATAAAATTGCTTATTTTATGTTTACATTTTCTTTGTAGTCTTAAAGTACAGCTAATGATAAACAAAGGACCAAAAAGTAATCTAATTTTTTCCAGGCCTCTGGTCTGACGGCCCCAGAGATTTTCTGCTACTCAGTGTCTTATTTACCCTTTTTGAAAAAAAAAAAAAAAAACAACTAGCTGAGTGCAGCCAGAGCCTGGCCCTGGTGTGTGGGCCACATCATGTGCACTTGTAATCTAGAGTAACGTTCACAGGATGAAGCTCACTGACTTGTTTCTGTTTTGCCTAGAGTGCCTTGAATTGGTAGAGAGAGAAAGCGCTTGTGAACGCCTTAGTTCCTTTTAAAGCTCAGGGGCTATTAGACAAACCAGGTAAGCTGGGCATGATGGTGCACATCCAGGAGGCCGGAGCAGCAGGACTGCGAGAGGTTGGGGCCAGCCTGGACCACATAGTAAGTTTAAGGTCAGCCTAAACCTACATAGTGAGGCCCTGTCTCAAAAAACAGAAAGAAAGGAAAAGAATGAACCCAAGTAAATTTTGCCTACCCCTAGGCAGCTTGGCACCTGCTATCTGTCTGTGTATGAATCTCTTGCATTTTCATTACAAATTTCAAATTTAAAAGAGATTACTACAGTAAAACTAGACTACAAAGGTCCCTAATACTAGACAGAATGAAAATTTTACGTACGTTTAGACTGTATAATGAGCAGTTTCCTTTGGTAGAAGACATTGTGTACACGTGTGCTCAGGCACCTTGGTGCTGAGCAGAGAGATGAGGCTGAATGTCAGGTCACCCTGGGTGGCCACTAACCAGCCCCACACGACCATAAACTTTTACCATCATATTTTGACTTTTAGCCGTATTTTACATGTCTCAGCTGCGTGGTGCTGGAGCGCAGGCTGCACAAGCATCAGTGTGATGCTGTGTGGAAGGGTGTGGGGCAAGGCTGTGTGCTCCTGAGCCTGCTGCACACACTGTCCAGTGAGACGCGGGCGTATCAGGCATTACACGTGCTTGTGCAACTCGGGGCGTAGCGTGGAGCGTTAGTGATAACAGTATTCCCGCGTACCTACCTATCCCTGTGCCTGAGAAGAAAGCTGGTTGTTGTTATTAAGTGGACAGATAAGTTTTCTTACTTAACTGTTAAACTCGTTTCTCATGTTATTTCATTTTAATAATATAAAATACCTAAGAATATAGGCAGTTTCATTACTTGTATATTAACTATGCTATATAGAGAGGGCCCTGAAACTCCCAGAGGTTACGTTTCTAGAGAACCTGTGAATGTGGAAAGGTGCTGATTTCAGCTGTGGTCAGAAGACTTTCTATACATGACTGTTTTTTATAATTTAAACCCTAAATATGCAATATTGCTGCAGTAATGTTATTTTATCTAATAGAATACTGTATTAACAAAGCCTTAGAAGGCACAGGGTGTCCTGGTGACATTTTAGAGATCTTCAGGCTTTAAAAAGAAGAGCAGAAGACAGCTACGCAGGTCAGGTCGAGCGCCCTGTTAAGATGCAGGAATGCTGGGGCATCTGCAGGAGGTGGGTCACAGGAACAGCCAGTTAGCAGCAAGGAGAACTGAGCAGCTCTCGATTGGCTGCTTGCAACCCTGCCCTCAAAAAAAAAAAAAAAAACTTCTTGTGGAGGATGTTTGTAGTTTCCATAAACAACTTTTATTTAGATCCTAAGGAAAAACACAAATGACTGAGACAGCAAACTCTGAACTGTGACTTCCTGGGGGACACTGTATTTTATATATGGCCCGAGACAGTTCAGCTGCACTCAGTGTGTTCCAAGCAAACCAAAATATTGGATACACATACTGGACAGTGCAGGAAGGGGGCTGCAGGGCCACATGCTTTGTATCCTCACATGTATATGTACATGTGTGCCATATGCGTTTGACTACATGTATTCAAATAAATACATATGTACTTAAAGGCAAACATTTTTGTATCAGGTTTTTTTTTTTCTTATCTCATCTGATGGCTTTCAAAATTGTGAGCTTGTGCCAAAGTAGAAGCTTTTGGATAGTGGGCTCCCAGATGACATCCACAGCTTGTCTCTGGAGACTGAAGTGCACTCTCTCTGTGGAGAGAGTGAGGTCAGTTGGAGAGGCTTGCTTTTGGGAAAACAGCGACCTTCTGTGGGACTGACTATCACAGACGTGTATCTGGTGGCAGTTTTATTTCTTCCAGTTCAGCATTCATTTTTGAAGAGAACTTGGTGTAAGTATTGCCTGACTTAGCAGATGGCAGAGGCAGCGAGGATTCCGCAGCCTTCCCCTTCTCCGGTCTGGGGCTTTGATCAGGTCTACAGAGAAGACAGAAATAAGGACTCCCAGTGCCCGTACGAGGAGGCCCAGGACGCTTGATAGAGAGGTGAAAATGAACTACCTCAGAAATACTGAAGCCTGGCCACCATTGAGACCTCTTGGGCAGTTGGGATGGCCTTCCTCATTCTTTCTGCTGTGAGATGGGCAGAAAAGTACTTCCTGCGTGTGCCATTAAGCAGGAAGAAGGAGGAGCACTGCTCCCTTAGTGTCGGGGAAGGCTGCGTCATGCGTCCCCCCGTCACGGCTGGCAAGGACTCTGCTGTCTCGGGCGGATGTCGCCTGCAGACGTCTCCCTCTGAGCCATCTGTCCTTCGGAGCAGCCTGTGACCCTTGCTGGCTTAGCCTCTCCCGGCTGAGAGACAAAGGCGCCTTCCGTCCTTGGGCACCATTCAGGGTCTTGCCGGTCTGGCCTCTTGGTCCTCTGTGTCACAGGGTGCCACGTGTACCCTGCCCCGCATCTAGCTGGCCTGTACCACTTTTGTGGAAGGGCCCAAGCACTGTAGCAAAGGGGACCTTCGAGTCGGGTCTCCTGAAGCTTTCATAGCAGTGCTGTGTACAAAGATCTGAAGTGCGTTTGCTGCTGAGCGTCATTGGAGTGCTTACTACATGTTGGACTATGTCTTTTGCTCTGCAAGGACATGGAGTCTACTGGGCTTTCTCCAGTATATACATAGCAGTGGCCCATAGCCAGGAAGCAAGTGACCCCAGCAAACTCTCATTCCACACATTTTCTGCAGATCAAGAGTTGGTATAGCTGCCCCTGGTCCAGGGCCCTCGAATGGTCATGGTCCTGCTGTCATCTGCCCTATGCCCCTCAGGCTGGATGGTGGGGACTCACTTCTGAGCTAACCTGTGGTCCTGCAGCTCAGTTTCCCTCCGGCTGCTGGTGCCCAGCCCTCAGTCCACCTCTACCACCTAGACTTGCCATTAGCCTCTCACTTCAGGGCAGCTGTCTCCGCGGAGTAAATGACCCCGCCAAGGGAGGCCAGGACAGAAGCAGCAGCATCTCTGCTGCTCTCCATGACACAGCGTCACTCTTGCACATCGTGGTGGCTGCACAGCCCAGCCGTGGCGTGCGTAGGGGAGCGAGCGCCCTAGGAACTGTGAGGATTGGGAAGGCTATGGCCACATCTGCTCTGATTGAGATCTGTTTGAGGGACAGAATTGGGTAAGGCCGGAAAGGATTGGTGATCCGAGCAACACAGTTATATTCACTGGTTTTGTTTTTATTCTGGAGCTGGAACCAGGGGCCTTTACACTAAACTACAACCCCAGCCCCATTTGTGTGTGTGCGTGTGTGCGTGCGTGCCTACGTACCCAGGCATGTATTTCTTTGATGCAATGTCTCCATAAGTTCCCCAGGTAGTACTCCAGCTTGCTTTTATCCTATACCAGCCTCCCGGAGTACTGGGATTAAAGGTATGCACCACTATGCCCAGCTGTTTTATTCTCTTAATAAGACTCCTTTTAATTTTCATTTCTTCCCACCAAACTTTATACATCAGAGTATTGAATACACAGGGATCTACCGAGCAGTTATGCCCTTCCAGCAGACAGCCAGGGAACATCCTACAGTTAAAAAATAAAGGTGCTTGGGGTAGGGAGTGCTGCCTTGCTGTCTCATTTCTTTTAAACCTGAGGGATTTGGATGCCACTTATTTCCTGGGCATGCATAGATCCAAAGGTGATTCCTGTAGGAACTCTTCGGAGGGAGTACGATGTTTGAAATAGGGTCAGAGTCCAGGAGGTTCAGTGTTCAGCTGGTGCCAGGGAGCCTGCTGCGTGAGTCTGTAGGCATCTGGTGTGTGTGCCACACCACTAGCTGGCGAATGACTGGGGTGAGATCCTGGGCCTATGACCAGTGTGGCTTCGGTGTCCCAGTGAATGTCTTTTCCATCCTAGGCGTGTTCTGGCAGTGACCCAAAGAAGAAAGTATGTGTCATCGATGAGATTGGAAAGATGGAGCTTTTCAGCCAGCCCTTCATCCAGGCTGTCCGCCAGACACTGTCCTCGCCAGGAACCGTGGTCCTCGGAACAATCCCAGTTCCCAAAGGGAAACCACTGGCCCTCGTGGAGGAGATCAGGAACAGGCCTGATGTGAAGGTGTTCAGCGTGAGTAAGCCGGTCTCCCCCACCGAGTCAGGGTGAGGGTGCAGGTGCGCTCACCCCGACCCCTGCCTTTCTGTCTCCAGGCGCTGGGCTCTAAGCAAGTGTGATTGTCTTAGAGTTTTCCAGAACTTAGATCATGCCTCTGATGACAGAACAGGCTGTGGGGGCACCAAGGGTCTTCTCCATGCCCTGCCCTCTTCCTTTCCCCAACACTGCTGGGTACTGGCCCCCTCTGGCATCAGAACTGCTCAAGTGGTGGGTCTCGGATCCATGGTTCATGTTGGGAGTCAGAAGCAAACAACTATGGTTTTATGAAAAGGTTCCTCTGTCTGTCTATCTCTCTTTTTTTGTGATCTTAGGGATTAAACCCAGGCCTCCACACTGAACTACATCCCTAACCTTTTCATGTATATACATATACATATATTTTTAAATTTTGAGAGAGGTTCTCTCTGAAGTTGCTAAGTTGCACAGACTGGACTTGAACTTACAGACTTCCTGCTTCAGCCACCCAGAGTGCTGAGATCACAGGCATGTCCCCCCATACCTGGCTGAGTGTTTTCCCTTTCAAACAGACCCACTTGTGTTAGGGAGAAGAGGCTGGCTCAATGAGGTGCACTATCTGTCAGAATAACTCGAGAAGATGGGCGCACACAGGCTCCTCTGCCCCATGCGGCAGCCACCAGCCACCTGTGGCTATTTCTGTTTAAGTTAGTTACACTTAAGTAGGATTTAAAATAGTCTCTCAGCCACACTAGCCCAGGCAGTGACAGTATTTGGCAGCATAGCTTTGGTGTCTTGTCATTGACAGTCCTGTGGTGGCCTGTGTGGGGTCTTAAGGAGCCAGTGGGATGTGCACCCCTGTAGGCTGACCCTGATCCCAGGACTGAACTGCCTGGGGTCGGGCAGAGCCACTGTGCTCCGACTCCTCTCTGTGTGCCCCGTCTGCCACAGTTTGAGAAGTAGGGCTGTGGCTCCTCACACGCATGGAGCACTGTGTTAGAGGCACAGTGCGGTGCAGGAGGCTCTGTAGCACGACTGGCACCTTGCTCAGTCTTGTTGCTCCGTTCTTTTCATGTCTGTCCATCTGCCCCACTGCTTTTTTTTTTTTTTTTTTTTTTTTTCCTGTTCCATCAGCACTGCTGGCCTAGTGCTGCCCCCACCCCACTCCTGCCCTGCCTTATACACTCTGGCCCTGCAAGGCAGGCAAGGCCTTCTTAATTGGAGAAATGTGAAGTGGGTACCCCACGTCACCAATGACCCACCACCCTGACCCACTGGCCCCAGTGGAACATCCACATGTGCCCACATGGTGTGCTGGGGATTAAACCCAGGCCTTTCCACTGAGCTACATCCCAGTGAATGCCTGCCAGAGGTAGATCAGCCAGACCTGGACAGATGTGTCTGTCCTCATCTGTTGGCTTCTTCACTGGATAGACACTGGTTGAGTACCTGCTGTGTGCAGGCATTGCTCTAAATTTGAGTGACAGTGGTGATAAGATTGACCAAGCCCTTCGACTGCACAGCTTATGTTCTTCAGCAGGAGCTGAGGGCTAGACCAGAAGCAGACAAAGTAAGTTGTTTCAGATCCTGATGAAGGCAAGAGAAAGAAGCCAGGCAATGTGGTGGTTGGGGCAGGATGGAGGGGTGGTCAGAGAAGGGCAGTTCAAGAGGAGACATTTGAGTGGAGATTTTGAGAGCCTAGAATGGTCACATCCTGCTGGCCGTGACTCTAGGGTCTTAGCGGCCTTCCCGCGTCTCTCTCTGCAGTTGAGTTATGGTTTGGATGCACAGTTTCTGTGGAGACAGGCAGTGGCTAGTGAAAGATAATGAGAGAAAATGCATTTTCAGGTCAGATGGCTCCCAGGCCAGGAAACTGCTAGCATTAGGCTCCAGGGATTGGCTGTGTCTGCAAAGGCATCCAGGCTCAGTGACCTGCGACAGGTTGAAGGGAGTTGACGTTCATGTCCAGAAATAACTGTTGAGTCTTCAGATAATGCCATGTTTCCTCCTCTGACACAGAAGATATTCTCCAGACAAGGAAATCATTGCTCCTAATGATCTGTAGAGGAAGCGGCTGGCTCTGAGTTAATCCTGTGAGAGGAGGGGCTGCCATGCCCTGCTGGGCTGCACTGCCGCTTCTGGTAGGGAGCCTCGTCCTTATCTGGATTCTGCGTAGTCTTGAGTCCTTTCCATTTCTGTTAGGCTCTAAGTATCTGAATCTATTTTTAAAAAGGCCCTTTGCAGCTAGCACCTCTCCCTGACACAGGCATGTGTGAAGCCCATTTTTTTCCCTTACAAGCTGACCATGGGACAGTGACTCTGGGGCCAAGAAGGGAGATGTCTGTGTGAGCAGGGAGGAGAGAGGGGTCTGCAGGAAGGCATTCCTGGGTGGATTCTTGCAGGTGGAAGGGGGAGGAGAGGGGATGAGCTGGGGCAGGTGATGAGCTCTGTGCTGGGTAAGCACAAATCCCGTGCAGGTAGACCATGCTGCTGTAGAAGGAAGCCCCACCCCAAGTAGGAACGCCATCTGGATGGGTTCTTGATAGTGTCTGCGAACTGAGGTCTACTTTCAATTAAAACTCCTGAGCTTTAACTCTGGTTCTGGACAGGGTACAACTGACTACTCTGTCTTCACTGATGGCAGCCAGCTGCTTTGGGTGGCAGTATGACCTGAGAGGTGGAGAGAGGGCAGGCTGGGTGAGCCTCAGGGCCCAGCAAGGACATCTTAGACACACTGAAAGTCACTTGTCATTACCACAGCCAGGATATCTCCCCTTGGATGAGAAAATACAATCAGATCAACAGCAGAAGACAAGGACATTGGGGTTGCAGGGTAAGGATTTTAAAACAGCCTAACCAAAAAGCTGTCACAAAAATGCTTCAGTGATGGGTCACAAACATACTTGAAACAAATGAAAAATAGTCTCAGGAAAGATGCTGAGAGTTTTATCAAAAAATGGAGGAAGCAAATGAAAATTTTAGAGCTGTAAAATTGGCAATTTAAAAAGTAGTCAGTAGTAGACTGAGGTGATGAAAGAATCAATGAATTTGAAGGCAGAATAACAGAAATTACCCAGCAAAGAGAATAAAAATGAACAGAGCCTTGGGGACTGGTAGGAAATAGTAACTGAAATGTTCCCATCTTTAGAAGACAAATCTACAGATGCAGTTCGTGTTGTGTGAATCCCAACATGAGTACCGCAGAGGCCGGCGGTGCAGTGCCTTGTCCCAGTGTGTTGGGAACCCTGACTTCCTGGAAAACTGCATCCATTGGAGCAAGCCTTGGGAGGGAAGGGAATTCAGGCTTCATGGGTGGGGCAAGGGAGAGCGTGGCTGCCTCAAGCTTGCACTAGGGAATGACTGAGGGACACTCTCATCAGCAAGGAGCGAGAGTGCTGCCTCGGACACCGGCAAGGGGACAGTGCAGGCAGGAAAGCGGTGGGTGTACATTCTGCTTCTTGAATTTTTAAAATTATGTTTAACAGTTGAGGCTGAAATAGTACTGTCATCTGACATGGTAAAAGATAGATGAACAAAAAAGAAAAAAAAAAAAAACAGGACAAAGGCGGCTCCTGAGAAGCCAGCTAGCATCCCCTGAGAGTTGTTGCCCCTTCCAGTCCCTGGCAAAGTGCCCCTGAAGAGCCGCTCCAGACAGTGTCAGAGGTCAGCAAGCCCAGAGCACCCTGCGAGCCAGGCTGCTCTGTCCATGGGGGCTCAGGAGGGAACCAGGGATGTAGCAGGTACTGGGGTGGTGTCCTGGGAAGGAAGACAAGGCAGGCTGGCCGTCACCCGGAGAGACCTCTCAGACAGAACACTGAACACGGCCTGAAGGTGAGGAGAGAGCGCCCCTGGGGCCTGTTGGGAAGGTGACCTACTATCTCCCTGGGTTGGTGGCCAGAACTCCGAGTGGACTTGCTGGTGTAGCCCTTCAGTTTTGACATCTCCATGATCGAAGTTGCTGAGTCACTCTGTTGCCTGCTAGTCAGGGCCATACTGTCAGCAGAGTTCTGAGTAGATTTTGATCTTTTTGAAGCTGGTGGCCTTGTGACATAATTAAGCCCATGCCGGAACGGGGCGCACTCTTTTGGCAGCAGGGCGAGGGTGCCATCTGCGCTTCCAGGCTGCTGGCAGCCTTCTTTCCCACCACCTGTCTGGGCTCCCCTGAGCCTGTGCAGCGGCTCAGCCCCGCTCTCCTTCCCTCTCTCCTCCCCTCACGCTCCTTGTTGGTGATGTCACAGGTTTCTTTTCCCACCCTAGCTGGCCCAGGTGCTCTCCTGCTCTGTAGAGAGCAGGTGTAGTGCCAGGTCCTACCTGTACTCTGACTCTGAGTCTTCTAGAACAGCAGGAGGGGTGCACTGTCACTTGGAAATGCCTGCTCCAGTTGGGTAATGACTGTGACCTTTCTGAAGGTGAGGTTGCTGTCCCAGAAGTTTATTCATAGTTTCGTGTCATGTCCTCCAGGGCTTATTGCTCTCTAAATGTCACCACTGGTATTTGGTTATTTGAGACTAATTGTTAAAAAAGTTAGTGGTTATATTAATGAGAGAGACAAAAGACAAAGGCTTGTGGATCAGTGTTACTGGGAAGTGCTGTGCATACTTTTTCATAGTTTTTAACTAGCAACATGAAAGAATAATTTTTATTCCTCTGAGTTACTTCTTTCAAAAATAAAAACACATTAAGTTTGGTCTTCTAAGTAGCATTTAGAAAGCCAGTTTCTTCTGATTTTTGGGGCAGCACTTCCTGGGCAGGAATGGAGACATGGTTGAGTGATGAGAGCCCTGGGGGCTGCGGATCCCTTCAGAGAGCGCAGGTTGGCTCATCCTCTGAGCACTCAGGGCTGGCGCGGGGCTCAGTGATGCGGGTGCAGTAGTAGCCTCGAGAGAGGCAGAGTCTCCATGTCGTGCCCCCATCCGTGGAGGTGCGGAAAGGCGAGGTGCTGTGTCCCCTAGTGAGTGCGGGTGGAGCTGTTCTAATGGTCACCCAGGAACTCCAAAGCCTGCACATTGATGGAGCCGGCTTTGCTGCTGTTTTGCTGCTGGGTTCTCTGTGGCGTGTGGCCACAGAAGCTTAGGTGTTTAGAACTTAGTGCATTTTTCAGCTGTAATATTATATAACCAAAATCTATTTTAATAATCTGAATTCAAAGCCATTTAGACTTGCGTCCTCCATAAAGGCATTTTTATTCTTCCAGTTTTCACCTTCGTGTTGCAAGGTCATCAGAAGAGCGGGCAGTCGTCCCAAGTTCTCTGATGTAGAAGGTTTTAGACTTACTCTTGCTGTGTGTTTTCTTTTCCCCCCTCAAATAGGACATAAACTCTGTCCTTGCCAGGACTGTCACCCTGGCCCCAGGGCCGATGCTCCTCTCTTCTGCAGTTTTAGTGCTGGGGTTGCGAGCCCATGGGTGACATCTAGATCTAGAATCACCAGATAGTCAGTGTCTTTTTCAGAAATTGGGAAGAGAATACTAAAATGCGTGTGGATGTAAAAGAGGTCCAGTGAAAATAATGTGGGGGGAAAGAATGATGTCAGAGGACTGACCCTTTGTAGCTCTAACGTTTACTATAAAATGCAGTGATTGAGACACTGCAGTGCTGGCTTCAAGGTAGAAGGTAGGTCCCTGGAGCAGAGCGCGGGTCCCGGAGCAACACCTGTGTCTGTGGTCAGTCTGCAGAATTTAATAGGAAAGTAGCTTCGCAGCAAATGGTATTGGTATTACTGCATATCCATGCACAAAAGAATGAAGTGTGGCTTGCATTCCACACACAGAAATGAACGCAGAGTGGATCATAAGCCTAAATATACAAGCTACACCTGTAGAACTTAGCAGAAAATACAAGAGTAAGTTCTTGTGAACAGCAGGAGGCAAAGCCTTTCTTGATACACTACCCAACACAAAAGCAGCTAAAGGAAAAACATAGAAAATTTAGATTTTGTCAAAATTAAAAACTTTTGTGCTTAAAGGACCCCAGGAGCAAGTGCTGATGGTTTATATCTAAATATCTGTCAAGAGCCTCATGGGCTCATAGTGGGGCTTTTGAAAGATAGGTGGGTTAGGGAGGCGTCATAGCTGATTTGCTGTTAAGAGCGGTCTGGGTGGATGAGATGGCTCAGATCCCAGCAGGCGGGGAATGGTAGAGGTGGCAGGAAAGGCTGCTCCTTTTCTGGCTCCCCTGCACCTCTCTGCCACTTTTCCTCTGCCCTCCCTGTACTGTTCCCCCTGCCTTGCAGCCAGCTGACGATGGACTGAAATCCCTCAGAGCTAGATTTAAACTCTTTTAAAGGTTAAAAAGCCAAAGTAGTCCTTTTTTTTTTTTTTTTTTTAAGTTGTGGATGTTGATATTGTATGTCAGGGAGAAAGTGGCTAAGGCACAAGTGGAGAAGACTTCACCAAGGGAAGTATTTACAGATCACTGTCTGAGGGGGCCTTGGAGCCTAGATTATATAAAGCGCTCCAACGACTCACAAGTAACATAAAAGTAAATGTAAAAACTGGTAGGCTCTGAGTGGACGCTTCTCCGAAGAGCACACACCTTCATGTCAGTACTCGGGGCAGTGCAAAGCAAACCATGGCAAGAGGTCACTTGGCACCCACTGAGGTGGCTGCAGAAAGCAAATGACAGAAGGGGAAAATGACAGATGTTGGCAAGGACGTGGAGAACCAGGGTCACCCGCTCATTCTCACTTGCCACCGAGGGGAATACGAGCAGCATAGTCCCTGGAAGACAGCCCAGCAGCTCCTTGAAAAGGCGGAACCGAGCTGCCGTGAAGCTAGCAATTGTGCTCATGGGTTTTTATCCCAAGCCACTGAAAAACACATGTTCACGCAGAAATGTGTGTTCAGAATGGCATGGTTCATAATAGCCAAAACATGGAATAATCCATCTGTCCACTGCCAGTGGATACATGGGTAGATAAAAAGTAATATATCCATTACCACGAGGAAAAGCTGGAAGAAACTTGTCATTGCCTTTACTTGCTTTCGTAAGACCATGAATTACAAAGTACACACACTGGGTCAAGAGGCAGAGTTACAGCCTGCGCCATGTCCCTTTTGCCTCTCTGATCTCAGCTTCCCTATCATTTTTTTAAAGGAGCAGTTGGCCAAGCTCAGGGTCCCTTGCAGCTCTTGGATTGTCCACATTCCTCTCTCTCTCTCTCTCTCTCTCTCTCTCTCTCTCTCTCTCTCTCTGTGTGTGTGTGTGGTGTTGGTGGGTGGATCACACTGGCCTTTTGGAGGCTCGCTGGGCTCCGAGTGGCTTGCTGCCACCTGGTGCTCCCATGGGCCGACAGACCATGGGCCTTGCTTCTCTCCGTCTTTCCTTCTCTTCAGTCAAGCTACAGACCCCAGGTCCCATCTTTCTCTGCATCTCTCTCCATGCCTCACGACATCCAGCTCAGAGTAGACTCCGTCAGCACTCAGAGCCTCTGTCTGTGATCGAGCTGTCACTGCAGAAGCTGATGGTGGGACTTGGTGGTCTCGTGTTGTCTCAGTGAACCCCAAAGAGCTGGGCTTCCATCACCTCTCCCAGCCTTCCAGGCTTTTCTTTTAGGAGATTTCTTGGCATCAGATGGAAGGAATTCTGCAGTCACTGTCCTGCTTTTTCCCACAGGTCACCAAGGAAAACAGAAACCACTTGCTGCCAGATATTGTGAGGTGTGTGCAGAGCAGCAGGATGTGAGCTGGGCCGAGTCCTTGCGCCGCTGTCCCCAGGGATGCTTGGGTCAAGTGCAGCTTCTGACGCCTCCCTCCCTTCTGTCTGCTGAGTGAGGTTTGGTGCCTCCAGGTTTATGGACTTTGTGGGCTTTGCCCAAGAGAGTTTGACAACTGCTTTCCATAAAGCATTTGAAAGGCCAAGTTGGCCTTGATACCGGTCGCTGTCCATGATTAACAACCTCATCGGGCTAATTTGTGCTTAGAGCTTAGCGTTTATTAGTTTTTGAGCCAGGCACATGGTTTGATTACAAGGTGAGCCGTGAGTTGGGACTGTCAGGTGGAGTGAACCTTCCCTGATGTGCAGAGGAGAGAAGCGTTCCCTCTCAGATCAGCCCTGTATGTTGTGAAGACCAAGTGCTGTCCGGGTGCAGCTTTGGTCTTGGGCTGCCCAAAGTCATTAACTGTTAATTTGATTTTTAAAATATTTCTAAAGCAAATCATTGTAGCTTCTCTCGTCCATTTCTTGTTTATATCTTTGTATATTGTTTAATAAATATAGAAATAAATCTGATGGTCCAGACGCACAGTCTGTGGGACATTGATACTATTTGGGAGATTGATAACATTCAGGAGGACCAAGGATAAGGATGAGGGTGAAGCCTCGGCTTCACGTGAGCCCTGCTCAGGCTGCTAACTTGGGTGCATTTTGGAACCTTCCTGGACCTGGTTTGCCTTTGAGAAAAGAGAGAGAATGACTGTCATCAATGGAGGGTGGTGTGACACTGCAAAAGGAAGTGTCCTCAGCTGCTCCATCCATCCATCCCTGGGAGGGTGCTCCGTCTTATGAGCTGGCACAACCCATATCAGGGTCTGCAGGAAAAGTAGGAAAGGAGAAGGGAGGCAAAAACCCCAGAATCCGTGAAACAGAAGACTGCTGCCCATGTGGCTGGTGATTCTGGAGTAATGGGCAGCTTGGGGATTTTAGGTCAAGATCTGTGAATAGCCATGAAATTTTAGCAACTAGCATTAGCTACAAATACACTGGCAAATGCAGCGTGTCCCCTGCGTACCTGAACAGATTGGGGGTGCAGGTTCCCACGAAGGTAAACACAGCCCACAGCCTGAGCCGATGCCCACGTTGTTGCACTTTCTCTGGAGAGCTTTTGAAGTCTGACGAGCCCTTGCCATTTAAGAGCCACAGCCTGGAACCCCTTCTGAGTAGGGCTATGCCCAGTAAGGGTGCGCAGGCATCTCCTTCCACTGTGCGGGCTGTTCACGGAGGCCACAGACTAAGCCCAGTACATCTGGCAGGCTACCTGTGATCTCAGTGGCCACTAGATGGGAGGGCCACTGAACACAGATGTGTGCTGTGTGTTGGAGGAGGCGAGGGTGGCCACTGCCACACCTAGCACCTCACCCCAGCCGAAAATCTATGCACGTAGCTGTGGCATTGTCTGGACCCCACTGTGCTATAAGAGAACAGGGACCAAGCAGGCGCAGCAGCAGCCCAGCACGCATGCCGGCTCTGCTGAGGTTGGACGCACCACTGCAGCCCTGCCTGCTACCTTAGGGTCACTGTTCTCCAAGACCCAGAAGGATGCTCACGCTCCCTCTGCCTCTGGTCCCTGTGTACTCGTTCCAGCATGACTGTTTATGAATTTTGATTTTGTCTTAAATTGAAAGGAAAACTGGAGGCTCATGACTGAAGCTGATTGGCACTATGTGTGGCAGGTAGAGATCAGAACCCAAGCCCCAGTGACTAAGACCCTCGATCTTTTACTACTCCCTGCATCTCCTTCCTTAGGCTTTCTGTCCTTGTAATGTATCATGAGTCCCTGGACCTCACAGTTGCTATTTTTAGCTGTAAGAGACTGGCCAGTCCTTCAGCTGTCATGGTGCCCCAGTGTCCCAGAGAGCAGTCCAGGCAGCGAGTGCAGAGGGCAGGTGCAGTCCCTGTGTTGTGAGCAGGGACTTTAATGGAGGCTGCTATGATGTCTGGCAGAGAAGGGTGAGTCCTGACTTAAGGGAACTTCACTCTGAAGAATGCAAAATTGACATGAACATTGCCCCATGCAGAATCTCAGCTTAAACGAGGTCAAGTAGAATAAGGCAGGACTGGCTTGGAGAATGGTTTGCTAAGAGGTTCTTTCCCCCGCTCCTTAGCAGACCGAGCACCCATCAGTTCCAGTCAGTCTACACACAACAGTTTAACAGGTTGTTTTCTTTGTTCTTCTTTAACGAGTCTCTACAGAAAGACAGGTAAGGCTTGTCGTCTAACTTGATTAAATACTGTCTGACTCTCCTGCTGGCAGGCAGGAGCTCCCGGGAAGTGGCAAATCCAGTCTGTCATCCCGCCCTCAGACCACACAGCAGCCTTGCCCCGGACTTCCTGTCTAGCGCTCTGCTCGTGGAAGGATATGCCTGGACGCATTACCCCTGTGGATGCCATGGTAGATGTTACGTAGCACAAGGCTTGGAACAAAGAGCGGAGGCAGCACCTTGTGCATTTTACAGGTCACGAGACTGCACCACCAGCAGCTGACAGAACTACTTGCCAGACACAGATGCTTCCACGCAACATCAGTGCCAAGTTAACCAAAGGATTTATAGAACACCCAGATGCTGCCATTTTTATATTGTTTTTAAAGGAGAATCTGTTGTATTCAGTGTCCACATGCAGAAATAACTTTAGCTGCATGTTGGCAGAACATGTGAGAATCCTGGCAAGAAAGGCCAACTCGACTGCCTGCTGTACTGGGGTTCTGGGGTTCTGACACCACCCTGTAAGAAGCATGCCGCCAGGCACCTGCCTGCCTCAAGGGCCAGGGCCATGTGCCTGTGCATTGCACATAACAGCTGTGACTTACTGCTGTGAGTGGCCAATGAGCCACAAGTCGCAGAGTAACTCGTCTCTGCTTGTGGGTACAGTGGTGCACATGTGGGCAGGAGGCTATACGGGTGGAGAAGCAGTTTCTGAGTCCACATGTAGGTGAAGGGTGTGCACAGTGCCATCCCCATGCCCTCTGGGCATCCTCTCTTGGGAGGGTATCCCTATATGCTCTCTCTGGTACCTGAAGAGTGGCCAGCTGTGTTCCACTCTGACCACCACCTTTTAGTCCCAAGGGCCAGGTGGGCTATACAGTGGCCCAGGAACGGCCAGGAGCAGTGGCCTGTGACATGATCATCTCACTAGGTGACAGCCAAAAATGAACCTGAAATGAAGTCTGTGTGTAGAGAAGATTGTGTGCTGGTGCCATCTCTAATTAGAAAGCCTTCCTATTGCTATTAATTGCTACTTCTTATTTGACAGAACCTCAAAGCATTAACACCTGCTTCTAGTGGTAAGGGGATTTCTGCTCTACCTGCCTTCCCTCTTTGTCTCCCACCCCAACTTCCAAATCATAGGTGCTTTGAATACCTTTTGTGACTGTTCTAAATTGAGCATTTCTAGCTATTGTCTTTCCAAAGGATGGTCCCACAGGTCAGTGTAATATTCCTCCTGCACGCTGTTTGGGACTCCTGCCCTTCCTGCTGTCACCAGAAAATCCAGGCTTCCCCTCCCTGTGAGACTTCAAGATGGGAAAAGTCTCAGGATTTGCCCAAGTATCAGTCTCATTTTTAGAAATGGATATATTTTTAGATGAGTTTTAGTCAAGCATACATTTTTAGAAATGAAAGCAATTGGAGCAGAACTGAAACGCCACACAAATAGCAATAACTGTAAACATTTTAATTCCAAAACAAAGGTGTGTGCGAGTGTGCTTGTGGCACAGCAGGGGCTGCTCAGCTTGGAAGACAAATGCTTGTTCCTGGGAGTGCAGGGTACTGGTAGCCCGGTACCACTCAGACATGTGGAGTGATTGTAGTCCAGGATGTCTGGTCGTGTTCCCATTTCTAACTCCCATCCTGACATATCCTGGCTCCTCTCAGAGGACGGAAGACAGGACTGCATGTACTGCTGGAATTCTGCGAGGGGGTGCTGCTGGCTATACCTACAGCTGCACTAGTACTACAGAGAAGAGAGACTCCTTACACCTGGGCTTGGACACGCTGGGCCCACCTGTGGTGGCGGTGCAGTGCAGCCTCTCCTGGTGACAGCAGTGTACAAAGTGCCAGTTACTAGCATGCAGTGGTCTTGTTCCCACCAGGGCAGGAAGGAGGTACTCACGGGCTATCTTTGCTCTACTTGTTTCCAGATATTAAATGGCTTTTGTTTGAAATGTCAAGTTCTTTGTGCAGTGTTTGTGGGGAGGAAAGTGTGAACGTCTTTGTTCCCCATCATGTGAGAGTTTTTTAAGAACCTGAGATTAACATTGTGACTGTTTCCAGAATGGCTCCCATTTCCCCTGGGGACGAGCCCTTGGGTGAGGAGCACTTGCTCACTGTGCTGGGTGCAGGGAGAAGAGTGAAGGTGACAGATGGAGAGCTTTCTCCCCGCCAGGCGCCACTCCACTATTGCTCATCCGAAGCACTCTGCTGGGAAGCTGTGTCGTCCAGGCCCATGTCCTCCTGACTCGCTCTTCTGCACATCACCCCCAGGTTCTCTGCCACAGCCTCAGCTAGACGTCGGTCACGGAGCTGCCCCTGTTCTGCAGCCTCAGTGGGGTCGCATGGCTCAGAGAAGTGCTTCCAGGGAACAGGAAGAAGTAGCGACAGTCAGCACAATTCACTTCCTAGATCTTCTAGCCTCCCTACCCTGCTGTGGTACCCTAGGGCTAAGGGTTCAAGTGACCTTAAGGGTAAGCCCTCCAGTTCGTCAAATGACAGGACTGTCCAGGTGGTGTCGGGGGTCTGGATGGGAAATTTCTCGTCATGTTTGGGGAACATTAGACAAAGATGGCCCTGGAGAGGCCACGTGTGTGACTGGCTGTACTCTCAGTGAGCCTCAACACGTTTAACAACAATGGCAGTACCAAAGCCTTGGCATTCCGGATGACCATGGTCCCAAGGTCATGGTCAGGGAAGGAATATTCTCTGTAATTCCAGAGATGCCCCACAGTCTATGACTTAAACACAGATGAGTAGGTGGGAAAGGCCATATCGTACCTTAAATAAAACAAGCTTGTATATGCAGTTAGATAGCTAAACTTAATGTTAGGTCAACTACAGTCACCAGCATGTTTCCTTAGCCAAGGGCCAAGGAAGCCCATCACCGACCCATGGCCCAGAGGTCATGCCAGTGCTGCAGCCCAGGCGCTCAGGACATTTTCCATGGGAGGACAACGTGGAGGAAAGGGTAGCACTGAGAATCCCAGGGTCCCTGTTACCTCAAATAACTGCACCAAGACCAGAGGTCAGGCCGCTGTAACCCTCATGTCTGTGAGCCTTGGGAAACACCAGGGAAGTGTCTAAATCTGAACCAATTTTAAAATTAATACTAATTTTTCATCCCTACCACATTGTGAAAGTGAGCTTCTGGGTGTTCTATTGTTCATCTGTTTATCTTCTTACTCATGAGGCTCGGGTGTATCCTAAGTCAGCATGGCAGGACAACACCTTGCCTTGTTGAAGTCCTTAACTCTCCTAGAATCTAAACACCTGAACGTGGGAGGCACCTCATGGCTCTAAAGGCCAATCTTTGGGTGGAATGAGTGATCATTCAGCTGCAGTGCTGATGGGCATCCTTGGCTCTCCCTTAATCCAAGTGATGCAAACAAGGAAGTAGCTGAGCTTCCAGGGCAGACAAGGGGGCCGTTCTAGCTACACCAGGTCACAGTTCTGCACAACAGTTCTACAGAGTACCTGGACCAGGGCACCCAGGATGCTCATGGCCTAGTGTGCAGTTGCATATCTTGTTACCTGCATGACCCTGGAGGCCTTGGAGTAGAGGGTGGGATTCTGGAAGGACTGGGTAGAAGCCAGGAGGCAAAGTCTAGACCTGAACCCTGCCCTACATCTACCCGAGCCATCTTACCCGTGTGGCATGGCCAGCAGCCCTGGCCGAGGGGCCCATCACGATGTTGACGCTGCTTGATGACTGTGTGTCACTGGTGTTGCCCCCCTCTGCTGCAGACAGTCCAGAAATGACGAGAGCGCTGGAAAAACTTCTCTTGCCAAAGAGGAAGCTGAGGGTAGAGCTGGTGGAGGAGCCCAGGCTGGACCGGATGAGCGCCTCTGCACGCTCTCGGACACTCAGGTGGCCTGTGGTGGTGACTGGGGGCGGCTGGGAGTGCAGGGATGCAGCTGAGGTATGCAGGGAGAGCCGGCTGCCTGAGGGCCTTGGGGCCAGCTCATGCACGGATGTGGATGTCTGCAGGAAGGCCTGGCGGCCCTCCACAATGGGGCCCGACGAGCTCAGGGTAGGCAGCGCCGAGGGTGCCTGGACAGACTGGCTCCTGCCCTTCCTGCAGCCTGCGAAGGGAAACAGCACCTGGTCATCATGACATGCTACAGCAAGAAATGCCATGTGGAACAGGGTTTGTTTCCTCAGAGGGTGAGAAGGTGGGCCAGATATGGCTGGTGGCAGGGCTGGTCCTGGGGTCTTAACACCTCACAACTCATCTCAGATGATGGATGGAAGAGTGACAGCTCCCACCACAAATGTGAAGAGGTGTGACCAAGATATACAGTGGCTGTTTTAAAGATTATTACAAGCAGATGTGGTGGCACACGCCCATAATCCCAACACGATATGCAGGAAATTATCATCCCGTGCCCCATAAATATGTGCTAATTATAAAACAGCCCATTTCTAAATCTGAAGAGTGGCCCAGATTGCAGTGGGTGGCTGAGAATGCTGGCATCTGCATGTGTCATGCGCCCCTGCTTGACCTGAGTCCCAGGAGCCCACAGAGATTAAGGCAAGGAACTCGAGGTTAGGATGAGGGCTGCAAGGTGACGATGTGACTCCCCTGGTGTGGCCAGATCCTTTTGCCAGCTGTCCCTCCATGAGACCTCTCCAGGTCCCAGCCCTTGCTGAGTCCTGTCTAGACAAGGCCAGTTTTGACAGAGATGTGGTTCTGGCCATGCCCCTGGAAGAACTCAGAGTGGGCTTCTGCTCAGACTGTTCCAGGGCCTCGGGACACTCGGCGTCATGAAGGGAGCAGCCAGAAGGAAGGTAGGGCTCGCTAGGACGCTGTACTGCGCTTAAGCATCGAGCATCTCTAAGCGCTACTTCTGTTCTCCAGCCGACGGGGAGGCACAGCTTTGCCTGTGGCCTCATGGTCTGCTGCCTGAAGCCATGACAGTCCATGTCTCTCACCACAAAGAGGTGGGTTGTGGAGTGGATGCCAGATACGTCTCCAGCTCTACCACACTCCAGGGGATGATTCTGAGTGTGCATGTCCCCATGAGACTCAAAGTAACACATCAGTTAAGAGCACTTAGGAAACAGGCATCACTATGGAAATTCCAGAATCTCCCCAGCCCAGACCTCCAGGGGACTTTCCAGCTGAAAGAGTCTTGCTCAGTCTCCAGTGCCACCAAGTCCCTGCTGAGAAGGTGGAATCTTTCTCTTCCAGGAGAAAACAAATAAGAAAAAGACTCTGACAGATTAAGAGCTCAGAGCAGGGATTGTGATTTGTTAGTTTATTCCGCGTGAGGCAAGGCCAAGCATGTGTTTGTGATTTACACATGAAGGCAAACAGTGCTGCCCACACCACCCTCAGTGGGCGGGGAGCTACCCGGCCTCCTCTGGGAACAAAGGGACAAAGCTATCACTGGTAGCAAACAGAGTCAAGGGCCCTCCCCCACTTGATTGTTTCAGATATTCTTTTGGCTCTTGATTTCTCTTTTTAAATTTTTAATTTTGTAAATGAAACAGCACCAAGTAAGCATGCCACACTGAAGTCCTTTGTGCTACTGAGGATCATTATTTTATGATTTAACTTATCTTGCCAATTACTGCATTATCAAATTATGAGTGTTTCTAGGGAAAAGCTTTAGAATCTGAGTGGAAATACAATATGAATTACCCTCCTTTGGGCATCATTCCTCACCTCTGATCATTATCTGGGAGGCTGCAGTGCAAGTTCTGGGCAATCCAAGGACCCCGCCTCCTCTCCAGTGGGGGGTTAGACTGGCGATGGGCTTCCAACTGCTCCTGGGAAGTAGGTCACAGCCTTGTGCTGTGCCCACCCTCCCCCAGCTGTGACACATATTCTGCACCCCTGCAGGAGGGCACACAGTGCCTGGCAGTGGGACAGAGACACATAGCATGGGGGCTGGAGGAGGGGGCACTGCTCAGGGGGTCTTGCAGGGGTGCGGTCACTGGTCCCCTGAGTACCTGGCAAGGGCTCAGGATTAGGGTACATAGGATGACAGCGGGAGTAAAGAAGGGCCGGGGCAGTTGGGTGCTCAGTGACAGGCAAACCCTGGTCATTGAGAGGAACAAGACCTGGGAACTGGCTCTAGTTCCTCCCTTACTGCCTTGTGGCTGAGCCCTCCATCCTGCCCTTCCCATCCAGGCAGGTCCCAGCCTGTGAGGCCCTGGCCCTGTCTCTTGGGTGGCACTTGCCATGCTGTGTCACTTACCACAGACACAAGGTCTGTTCTGCCGTTGGCCTCAACCTTTTGAAGCGAATGACTCCCACACTGTTTCTGTTTCCTCACACCCAGCATCAATGACTCCACCAATAAATTACAGGAGAGAGCAACCTGTAAAACTGACCTGCCACAGAAGCGTTGCTCAGAGCTTTCCAGAGCTCTCCCCAGAGTTTGCAGTAGATGTGGGGCTTCCTAAACCTGGCAGTTGGAACCATTTGGAAAGACGGAAACCCACTGCTCCCTAGGGGCTGAGACCCCTGGTGTCATCTGCAGTCAGGCCACAGGGAGGAAGGCCACTGCACCAGGCATGGCATGGAGAGATGGGCTCAGGAGTATTCCCACCAGTGAGCACAACCTCCATGCCCTGTACTGGCTTCCTCTCTGGGAGCCGCTTAGCCCGACTTAGATGGGCAGAGCAGTTTGGATCAACTGGAAAAGGGAAAGGGCCAGAAAAGCCCAGGGCTGACCTAGTCCCACCATCTCCACAGCACTGCGGGGTTTCCCTTTGGAGGTGATGATGGTCTACTGGGAACAGCAGGATAGGGCTTCCCTGAAATTTCCCAGGAATTCACAGGGGTTCCAGGTGGTTGCCCTCCCCCTTGTGGCCTTGTCTTGGGGCCTGCTCTTCTTGGGACCTCAGGGGCCACCTGCTCACAGGCCTCAGGGAAGTACTTCAGGTGGATAAAAACGCTGCCCCTGCACCTGGAGACACTGAAGATCCCACGCTGGGACCTGGACCCAGTTGGTTTTAATGGTCTGGAGAGTTGGCTGCCCTGCCAGGCACACCTGCTGCATGGCCTTCTGGAGATGGCCCAGGTGTGCTGGATGGGAAGGGCCTGCAGGGGCTGTGGATGTGATCCTCCCCTCAGGGAGGGAGCCTGTCAGCCGCTGCTGGAGCCCTCTTCCCAGTTTGGTGCTCAAGTGCCCTGTCACCAGTTTTACCAGATGCTCGGTGCTTGGGCTCCTGGCCCTAGTGCCGCAATCTGAGTCAGGCTGTGATGGGACTCTGGCAGGGACTTCAGGCACTCAGGACAAATGGTGGCCTCAGGAGAGCCACCAAGGTTAGCACTTCTGGCTATGATGAGAGAGAAACTCTGAACCTACTGGCTAGGACCCTGAAGACAAGCAGCACAGCTAGAGGGGCACTGTCCGCCCATCCAGTCTCCCAGCATTTGCTGAGCTCAGGATCACCCTTGCCTGAGTGGTCACCCACCCATGGGGACCAGAAACTATGGGGACAGAAGTTTGTGTCCTCTCATACACTAGCACCAGCACACATGCTAGGTCTGGGGACTCCATAGTTCACTGCCGCTCTATAGTTCACAGGCCTGTCTCTCCCTGCAGTGCTAGCAGGATGCAGGGGCAGTGCAGAAGAGAGTGGCCCCAAGCACACCCTATCCAGTAAGTGTCCATTGTCCTGTGTGGGGCCAACTCAAGTCACTGGCCCCCCTTGCAGGATGTTTTCTAAATACCAGGAATTAAACCCAGGGCCTTTCCACTGGCCATTTTTTCATTTACAGTTAGGGTCTCACTACATCTCCCAGACTGGGTTCACACTTGTGATCCTGATGCCTCAGCCACCCAGAGTTGGAATTACAATCCTGTGCCACCATGCCCAGTTATCATGGGAGAATTCTTGGGGGAAAGGCAGGCATAGCCTATGCATGGCTGGCAGGCCTCTGGGTAAGGTGGCCTTTGATAGAAGCCTGAGTAGGGGACTGGAGGAACAAGTCACCTTAATGGCTTAATCATCTAGAGAGGTGGCTGCCCTGGGAGGGGTGCATTTGGGGTAGAGAGCCAGCCAGTAGCAGGGAGAGGCCTGCACCCAGCTGAAGGCATGAGTTTCACGGGATAGGCTGCGCTGGGTCCCTCCAAATTCACGGTGACGTCCTAACCCAACATCTCACTTAGAAACAAGGTCATTGTGAAACCTTTACGGGCCAGCACAGTGACACAGTGGTAGGACAAATAAGCCTCTGGGTGCAGCAAACTATGATCTTCTGTAGCATGGCATGTTTCAAGAGACCCTAATAAAACCACAGAAGCAGAATCATTGCATGAAATGAGAAATTCTTATGAAGGATAAAAACAAACAAAGCAATGGCCTCACTTGCCCTTAGTCAACTTAAAAATCACTGATTTTGGAGGTCACACAGCTGGGCAATATATCATTAGCTTCCCCCAGCGCTGGTGCAGATGGCATGTCTGATGGGAGGGTTATGATAACAGTTGTCTGGGTTAATTCCTGGAAACTCGAAGGCCACTACTGCTGAGAAAACTGACTCCTTCCTCTGGCCTGCAGAGACCTGACGGGAGCCTAAAATGGGCTAAAGGCTTGGTGTCTCTGTCTTAATATTGCGTCTATCCCATTTATTGTCTTAACCCTTGGGTCAATTTTACTCAGCTCTGCATATAGACACATTAATCAATGTTCAGGCTGAAACCATACGACAGGGTTACCTTGGCCTGAGGCCTGATGGAGTTGGTGTGTGTTTTCTTTTCTTTCTCTCTCCCCTCTTTCCTACCCCACCCTTGTTTTTCAACAGCTACTAAAGCCCAGGCACCTGAAATCCTTCAACCCCATCATAGATCCTAACCCACACCCACAAGTCCAGGATGTGCTCTGCAGGATGATGGCTCCAGCTGCACGAAAATTAAAACAGCCTTCAGGAGGAGCTGACCATGACCACCCAGTGGTCCAAGTCCATCACAAGATGAAGTGTCCGATGTGACGGTTATGATAACTTATGAGGGTTTTGGAACCATGGCCTTAGCCAATGGGAATGAGTGGACTCTAGCCCACCCTAGCTCACTAAGGAAAGCCTGGTGCTCTTTTTTGTTTTGGTAACAGCTTGGTCACTCTCTTGACCATCGCTGACTCCCTTCAGTCAAAGCCCCAATTGGCTGACCCCCCCCATCCCTCTGCCTATCCAGGAGTGCTTGTGTTTGCAGCGTCTGGCCCAGTCTCCCTCCTACCATATCTGGGTCAAGAGATCTCATCGTCTGGCATCAGTCATTGATGTAGTGAGTTAAGATGAGGTCATGGGCCTAGGGTCAGGCTCTAGTCCAGCACGACCAGTGTGCTTTTAGAAAGGTGGCAGTTGGACTCAGACATGCACACGGGGAGAACAATGCTGTGTAGGATGGAGGAGGAGGAGGAGGAGGAGGAGGAGGCCCTTGGTGCTTCTACACCCTCAGAATGCAAAGCCAGCCAGCAATACCAGAAGCTGAGAAGACACCTGGGGAAGACTCTCCCTCA